GCTCTCTTACAAAAAATGCTTGATTCAACTTAGGTGGGAGGACGAGGATTGCTGGAGCTGACAGTGGACTCCACAGGAAAATTCCTGACAGTGTTGCAAGTAAAAAAGTCCCGATTTCAGCCCCAGGAACCCCCCAGTCCCCCCAGCAAGCAGGCTCTCCAGTACTCACCTCAGAAGAAATCCCACTGGAGGTCCCGGCAGAGTCGCCAAATTATGTAACCGGACAACCAAGGGGTCTGGGCTGCCTGTCACCAGTCAAGCCAATTAAGCAGAGACAGGGTTGAATCATATATGAACATTTATTCTAATACTGCCAGCAATATGGGAGAGCAGTCAGTCACCCTGGAAATTCAGCTCTGACCCTCCCTTGCCAGTTGGCTGGTTATATACACACAGGAGGGAGAAGATAGCTACGTGCAGGTGCGAGCTACACGTGTAACATGGAAAGGGAAGGGTAGAGCCTATAGTCCGGCCTTCAGGAGCTCAGAGTCCGAAAGCAAGGTGGCTAATCTTCTATGATGTTACACACAGCCCAGCCCGTTCCTGGGACTGGAGAATGGTCAGCGTTCCTGAGAAAAACTGGAGGGGGTCAGGGTCCAGGTGCAGCAGCCAGACAAAGGGTGTCCTGTGTTCAAAAATGTATTTCTTTTTGGAGTAATGGAACCATTGAGGCACCTTATCTTTTTACAGCCTTGTTTCATCCTCCATTTTCCCAGGGTCTGTAAGAAAACTTATCTGTAGTTAGTGAGGTGAGTATTGGACAACTGTGGCTCTATTCTCATTACATGTCCTTCCCCACTCTCATTGTGACAGAACATTGTAGTGACTCATAAAATACATCTAACTTCATAAATATAGTATAATATTTTAATTTAAAGACTAACTATATATATGTACATATATATATACATACATATATATATTTATGATCATAGTTACTTTTATAATGGAATAAGGAAGCCAAGTGGGCTTGTGAAATAACCTGCTTTATTCTGAGTCAGAGTTTGTGCATACTTACTATCTTTCCTGTGAAATTAATGTAAGCTTCAAAGATGAACTGACCTTTCTGTTTCTGAACAGGCCTTTATTGTGGTTTTTAAGTTTGGCTGTAAAAAAAAACTTCAGTTATTCAGACTAATATTAACCGAGGACAGCTGAGTAGAATTAGTAAAAAGTTGGCCTTATAGAATATTTTCAAAGCTATGTATATATTAGGTTTTGGACCTTTAAATATGTACAGTAATGACAACTTAGTAGCATCTTTCTAAGTTTTTATGTATAACAGGCATTTTTAGCTAGAATAGTAGTTAAGTAACAATAATAAAAGTCTCATTATTTAAGTTATTGACTGCATCATCCTTTGTTTCTTTCCATTATCAATTATCCGCTCATTTTTCTATGTCCTTTTTACTACCTTCCGTCTCATAAATAAGCTCAGATCTCTACCATTATCTCAGATTCCCCTTTCAGCTATTGCCATATCTCTTCACATTAACCTCCTAAAGGCAAAATCCAGTGTAGCATTTGACAGTGATGACCACATCCTTCTTTTTGAAACTCCTTTCTTGATTTGTACCTCACATTACTCTTCCCTGATTTGTCTTTTCTTTTTTATGTTCTTATCTAACTTCTGCTTGCTCTTTAAGGTCTCATTCTTTTTTTATTACTCTAAAAACTCTGTGAAACTTTTATGACTCCAAATGTCTCTTATATTCATCTGGGTCCGAACTTCTGGTCTCCAAACCTGTGTTTCTAATTGTCTTGGTGCCCTACGTGTATTTCACATTCAGTATGTCTCACCTTCCTGGCCCTTTATCATGGAACTTGCTCCTTCTTTCTATCCTATTTTTTTAAAAATAAAAAATATATATTTTTATTGACTTTTAGAGAGAGGGGAAGGGAGAGGAAGAGAGAGAGAGGAAAAAAAAAACCCAAGCAAAGCCAAAACATCAACTGGCTGCTGCTTTCATATCCACTATGGGATCAAGCCTGCAACCCGGGCATGTGCCCTGACGGGGAATCCAACCCACAACCTATCATTGCACGTGACCATGCCCAACCAACTGAGCCACACCAGCCAGGACTGCTCCTTACTATTCTTTTTTAAAATATATATTTTTATTGATTACAGAGAGGAAGGGAGAGGGAGAGAGATAGAAACATCAATGATGAGAGAGAAAAATTGATTGACTGCATCCTGCACACCCCACACGGGATCGAGCCCGCCACCTAGGCGTGTGCCTTGGCCGGGAATGAACTTTGACCTCCTGGTTCATAGGTCAACGCTCAACCACTGAGCCATGCTGGCCGGGCTTTATTCTTTATTTTTGTTAGTGGTAGTGTTATCTGCTTTATTGTCTAAGCTTTATACCTCAGTCCTTCTCGTCTTTCCCCCTCTCATTCCCTCGCCTAATTGGTCACCGGGATGTTAATTGAACATCTTTTTTTTCCAATCCATCACCTCTTCTCCATCTCAGTTACCCTGGCTTTTGTGGAAATCCTCATTTTTCTTTTGTGTCTGGGTAATTACAATAACTTCTTTTTTAAAAAATAGATGTAATAACTTCTTAATGCTCCCTCCCTTCTCTAGTTTCACAGCTTTTGAGAGATTCCTGACTTGAATTTCTTTATTGGCTCCCCATTATTAATAACGTAAAGTTTGGACAGCTTAAAAATTTCATGGGCCATACTTACCTACTTCTCTAAGTTTTATTTCCTGTCACAGTTCACGTCCCCGTTAGTCACATCGCTTTGTTTTCTGCAGAGGCTGAGCTTTTTTATTTCTTTGTGCTTTTCTTTTTCTGGGAATCCCATTAGCCCTTTCATTTCTGGTAAATTTCTACTAATTATTCAGGATTTAGAGATGGAAGCATATAACATGGTGGTTAAGAACCTGGGCATCTGCCAAAACCGGTTTGGCTCAGTGGATAGAGCGTCAGCCTGTGGACTGAAGGGTCCCAGGTTCGATTCCAGTCAAGGGCATGTACCTGGGTTGCGGGCACATCCCCAGTGGGGGATGTGCAGGAGGCGGCTGATCGATGTTTCTCGCTCATCGATGTTTCTGACTCTCTGTCTCTCTCCCTTCCTCTCTGTAAAAAATCAATAAAATATATTTAAAAAAAAAAAGAACCTGGGCATCTAGAATAGTATCTTTTCTTTTTTTACAGGATTGTTATAACTATTGAATGATTTAATGTAAAGTGCTTAGAGTAGCACTTGCCACAGAGTATACACTTAGTAAATATTAGCTTATTCACTCAAATGTCCCTTTGTTTTGTTTTATTTTGTTTTGTATTAATCATCTATTATTGGATGTTAATTCTCAGTTAGAATATGAAAGCATTTAGCAAAGATCAGGGGTGCCCAGCAAAGAAAGCCATGGTCAGGAATGCAGACTCTGCCCTCCACACTGGGCTTTCTTCTGTGATACTGAGTAGATGCTCGCTGTTGAGCTCGTTGTAAGAAAGGCAGTAGTGGAAAAGTACCTAAGCTGCCAGCATAATAGAAAGCCTCAGTAATGCTCCTTTTCTTCATATTGACATTCTTGTAATACCCATTGATAGTAACCTCTTAGAAACACTCCAACAGTGCCTTTAGGGGTAAAATCCTGCATCGGTTTCCAACTTGGCAGCTCCCTTATTTTAACATCCATGGGTTTCTTCTTTGCCGGTATGACTGATGCCATCTTGGAGTCCTGTTGTCTGCTGTCCAAATGTCATTGTTTTGTTGGAGTCGAATAAAACCAAGAATAAGTGACATGAGTGGGGATCATACCGTGGGGTAGCAAATGGATTTATTCACACGTTGCAGACTCCATTCAGTGGCAGTCTGGAACATTGGATTGAAAGCATATTGTAGCTTTGTCTGGGATCAGCTGGAAAGAGCAAGTACCCTGATAGAAATCACAAGAGAGACAGAGGAGACAGAGGAGGTTTGTATTTGTAACCCCCAATACCGCTTAGCCCCCAATTTGTGGTTGAGCTACCAGGTGGGCTATTTATTTTTTGAAGAATTATGGAAGATAATGCTGCATAAGTCAATGGGGCCATTAAATACAACCTCGAATGCCAGGCAAAGTAATTTGGACATAATCCAGAAGTTAGTAGGATTTTCCAACAGAAGAGTCATGAGTTACAAGTAGTGTTTGGAGAAGGTTAATCTGCACTGATTTGCAAGAGTATTTGTGGTGGTGAGGAATCAGAAGTAAGAACACAGTAGTGGTTGTCATACTTGTATATCCTTGATTCTAAGAAGCACTTTTCACATACTAGCCTTTTTTGGTATTGACCATATCACCTCTATGCCTAAGTTTAAAATGAAGACCATAGTATTTACCTCAGAGTTGTTACAAAAATTAAATGGGTTAATAAGTGTAACACACATCAATCAGTGTCTGACATGTAAGACATTTCAATTAGTGCCTGGTATATAGTAAGTGCTGGCATAGTGTTAGCTACCATCACTATTACTATTATTATATACCCAATATATACATTTAATGTAGTGGTGGTGTTTTGTTTTGTTTTTACCTGAAATCAGTAGGTTTCTTAATAATAGATGACGTTTTCAAATGGTGAGATTACAGACTAAATATGATATAATGGGGGCTAGAATAGGATGATAGTTGTGAGAATTCAAAAGTAAGTCTGAGATAAAAACAAGTGACATGATGACATGTTGGATTTAGTGGATTAAGAAAAGAGAGGATTTAAGACAACCCTCGGGTTGAAAAACTGAATGAATGAAAAATGGATTGGTTTAGGGAGGAATTGTTACTTGATATACATAAAATACTTAAAGCAATGCCTTGCACATAGAAAGTACTGTATGTGTTAGCTACTAGTAAGTAGTAGGACCATTTAAACTGGTTATGTAATTAAACTTAATATCACATAATTTAACAAAAATAGCAAAATATGAATAAGCCTCACATATAATTTACTAGTAGAGAATTCCCATGTTCAAGGAAAATTAAAGTATGTGTTTTAAATATTTTTCAGTATAAATCATCAAGGAAGAGTTCAAGTGGCAATGAAAATGATGAGGTGAGAAAAGAGGGTAATATTACCAAGTTTTGGAAATGTTTACTTTTCATATGTAGTTGGCTCAATCTGAGTACAATGTAATTCATCTTTCAGTGTCTTTGTTATTGATTTAATGCCTGGGTTTTCTCCAGTAAAAAAACAACTGAGAATCATCATATAAGTATTAATTTAATCATATAATATCTGTATGTCCAATAATTCCTGTAATTCCAATAGTTTAATTTTAGAATTCTAACATTCATCTTGAAATTGAAATTCAAGAATTCAAAATTTTTATATTTTCCTAAATCAACCTAGTGGTCAATTGAGATTTGTTTGGAATTTATTAAGCTCTTTCCACAAATTCTGTGTTCTGTTTTACATTTAAACTTACTAGTAGATTTCTACAGTTTGTGCATTACTATAAATTTTTTTACCTCACCATTTTAAGCTATGCAGCAGCCTGGAATTTTTCAAATGATAGTCTCATTGCATAGATACTTAAGCTTTGTGTATTTGGTTTGGAGGTATTGGTAGTTAATTTTATGTTGGTTCTTGGCAGGGCTTCTGAAAACACCTTTAATTTTATGAAATGGGATCATGCAGAAAACGTTTGCTGAATTCTGAACTCTAGTGATTCAGCTTGGCTCTTCTCCCTGTCCCTTTATATTTTTTGTCCACTTTGTCCTGCCTGCCTCAATATCTAATCAGTTATCAAGACATACTTTTTTTATACTGAAATATTTTGAATACATCCCCCACCTGCACATCTGCTCTTTCTGTCCCGGCACAGGCCCTCATCATTTCTTGCCTTTACTACTGCAGTACCACCCTTGCTCACCTGTTCCTTGCTCCAGTCCTTTCTCACAGCTCTAGCACACCACACAGGACATTTATTCGCCATTCAACAAATGATTAGTGACTACTTACTACATACAATCCAATATGTCTTCATGCACTTGCCTTGGATTGTAACATATTAATGCCATTTTCCATCAGAAATTTATCTTAACATATGCCACAATGATGGTTTCAAAGAACACAAATGTGATCAGGCCGTTCCCTTGCTTAGAAAGCTTCAATGTCTCCCCATCACTTAGAGGGTAAATTCTAAGTCCTTAGTCAAGACCCTGTTTATATCAGCCTCAAATCCCGATTTGCCCTCCTTTCACCTTACTCTCCAGAAATAGGGAACTGCTCAAAAGCTTTCTGCACTCCTCATTCATTGCTTCTGTGCCTTTGTTTTGTCTTCTCCTCTTGGAATGCCGTTCTTTTCTTTTTCTGCTAAACACCTACTCAGTTCTTATTGTGACTCAGGAAATTTGCCTTTCTCAACCACAGCCACCATCTCTCCAATTGCCCCTTGTGCCTCAAAATATGCCATCCAGAGCTCTTTGTTTTACTGAGAGAAGGCTGTATTACCTATATGACTGAATCTATTTTCCCGCTAGACTGAGAGATCCTTGAGTGGATGATTTTACTAAATTTCTGTATTTCGAATGTGTAGCACAGTACCTGACATACAGTAAGTAGTCAGTAATCATTTGTTGACTGGTGAATAAATGTCCTGTGTGGTGTGCGTATTCAAGATTAAATGTTAAGATTTTTGTGTTGGGTTGGTAGTAGTCATGCAAAAAACATGGGCTACTTAATATTACTTTATGCAATTAAATTATTTCTAAGCCTATATTAGCTACACATATTTTTCCAGGTAAATGTTTTTATTTGGGGTGATGGAATTTTTGCATGTCTTCATGCACTTGCCTTGGATTGTAACCTATTAATGCCATTTTCCATCAGAAATTTATCTTAACATATGGATCTTTTCTAAGAAATATGAAAAGGTTTTTCTTTTGTGATATAGAAAGGAAATAAATTTATAGGAAAATATTATGTGAGTGGATAGCGCTTCTAAAACTTTAAAGTGCTTATGAATCACTTCATTGACATACAGATTCTAATTAAGTAGGTCTTGGGTGAGGCCTGAGATTCTGCCTTTCTAACAAGTTCTCAGAGGCTGCTGCTGCTGGTTCAGAGACCACACCTGGAGTAGCAAGGTGGTAGACCATATTTTCCAGATTTTCTGTAGCAGTTGATCAATTTTCAGTTTTCTTTTTATATGTCTAAATTATCATTCATGTTTTAATTTCATTTTTCATCTTTTTATTTTTATATTTTAGCAAGACAGTGATAATGCTAACATGTCACCACAATCTCCAGTATCATCTGAGGTACAAGTTCTGTTTTTATATGTGTACATACGTTTCTTTCTTGTCTCTTCTCTCTAACCTCATCTTTTTTTTTACAATGTAATTTATTCACCCATAATTTAGAAAGCCATCTAGATTAATTTGTACAAACCTAGCCTATAAAGAATTCTAAGAACACCACCATATTTTTGTACAAATATTCATAATAAATATAACAAGTTACTCATAGGGAAATGCTTATGGATCAGAAAAAAGCATTCGATATATACAATTTTTATTTTGTATAATTAATCCATATTTTGAAATAAATTATAGAAACAGCTTTAAAGTTTGAAATTTGCAAAGTACGGCAGCATTGTGCAATGACCTTTGGTTTTTCTCATAGCCAATTAGGTCTGAAAGCAATGCAAGAGAAACTTCCTTTTTCCACGAGAAACATCCCTGCAGTGGGTTGTTCCTATCGACAGGAGGATACACATTTCCTGGCATCATAAACTGGGTGGCATGGGGAGGATGGGCAGATGAAAGTTTGTTAGATCTCAACCAAATACTCTGGTGGTTTGAATGGTTGATTCTAATTTAGCTAAACCTATTGCTTTACAACACGATGCAAGTTTTTAAAATTCCAAACAGTATCTCTTCTACTTCAGATTACTTTATTTAGTGTTCTAAACATGTTTTGACATTAGTAAATAAATGATCATGCACTCATTTGGTGAATTCAGGACTTTGCCTAAATGTTTGGATGATCCAAATTCACCATATAACTCTGGTTAATTAGGTAGTATTTTTTTATATAGTTAGTGTTGAATATTTTTTAAAGCTAGGATTATTTGTTCTTTTGGATGAGTTGAATTGTAAAACTTTTAAACAGACTTAGACATTAATTTTATAAACATGTTTCTAAATTATTTATATGATAGGTAAAATGATTTACATTGTTTTGGAAAATAATTTAAATTAGGATATCCTAAAATTTGTCTTTGTCATATGCTTTTGTTAGTCTTTTACTTTCAGTTATAACAAATGTAAGCATATAAGTGACTACTTATTTGCCTGATTGCTTTGTGATTTTATGATCAGTGCCTACAGGGAGAGTATTAGTGCCAGTTTTCTCAAGTAAATCATATTGTTTATTTAATACATTTTGCTTGCATTTGGATAAATAAAATTTTGTCTGGGAATTCATAATATTTTAACCAAAAGAATGAAGGCAAACTGTGAGGTAGCTCAACTGACATTCAGCTTGAACTGTATATCACATGTTAATCAGAAAATACACAGAATCAGCAGAATTCTGGTTGCTTCAATTTCATGTGTGAAAGGAAAATGATAAAAGATATATTAGTATAGTACTTTACTGCTAACAAAGGCTTGCCTCTACATTTGAACCTAAGAGCAATCCCATGAGCTGGGTATTAGCCTCATCATGTTATAGCTGAAGAGACTGATAACTTTGCCCAAAGACTCCAGTCAATAAATGGTAGAGAAGTGACTGAAATCCAGACTCTATATACTTCACAGTTGTTGCACAAATGAAATACGATGCTCCTAAAATGACCTTATCTTACCACTTTACATTTACAAAGGGCTTTCTTTTAGTTATCTCAGCTAATCTTCACAACACCCCATTTTAAAGATGAAGAAACAGTCACAGAAATTAAATGTTTTGCTTAAGACTTAGCTTAAGCTTTCTGACTCCAAGTTCAGATTTTTAAAAGTATGCCACAGTTCTTTCCAAGCATGTAACTGTGTGAAAGCACTTTGAAGCAATGTACATTTTAATAGAAGACATAATAATTTATCATCTATCATTCTGCAACTCCTGTTAGTATGAATGTGTAGATTTGCCTCATATTATCCATTAAGTGTCAAGTCCGTGGTGGATACTGAGTAAATGTTGCTAATTTCACTCATCTTTTCATTGATGTTTACTTCATTTGGGGGGAGACATTAATTTCTTATTTATTCAAAAGTAATATCTTTATTTTATACAATTCAGTAATTTAATTTTTAATTTTATTTATATTATGAGAGAGAAGTATTTAAAGGCTTATGTTATCAGGTCAATTAGCAAATATTTATACATATTTTAAAAGTGAAATTATCAATTTGAATTGAAATGCATTTGACCTTTTCTGCTTCACTAATCATGCAAAAACATACTTTTCAAAATTGAAATGGATATGAATAACGATCTTAATTATTTTGAAAGAAAAGAGGTTTTATTTGCTGTTGTTTTTTTTGTTTTTAGGAATATGATAGAACTGATGGTTTTTCACATGGTCCTTTTGGCTTGAAGCCAAGATCAGGTAAATATATATTCCGCATATAAAAGTTATTGGTTCTATGTGAAACTAGAGCTTCCAAACTTAACTGGGATTTGATTCCATAGTTTTAAGTACACATAGATTCTTTCCCCTCCCCTAAAAGTAATTTTCTCTTAACCTTATTTGTCTTTCCAATTCCCATTCCCCATTTCTTTCTTCCTCTTTACCTTCAAGCTCCTGAAACCTCAGCTTTTTGCCTTAGATATACTGCAGTCTTATTTCTACTCTACTGTGACTGCTATTAGAATGACCACTCTGCCAGCAAACCAAACACTGTTTGAAATTATAGCACACCATTATATTGTGGTTTTAAAAAGGGATCTTTTCGCATTTGGCAAGCCCAAAAGAAAATGGATCCATGTTACTTGGCAAGGTATTGAATTATAGTTTTTATTCCTGAATAACTGTATTGACCTTCAAGAATAGTTTCCTTTTTCTTTAAAGATAATAAAGGATGATTTATGTTTAATAATTTTTGACCTGGATCATAAGTTTCTAAAAATGTAATAGTATGTTTAAATAAGAACATATATAGGTGGTAGAAATTGTTACATTTATCTTCCCTGTTGCTTTCAGTTATGCAGATAAGTAGATTTTAATGATATTAGGTAAAATCTATTTAGAATGTATTAATAAGTAATAGCGTTTTATGTAATTCTGCATTGATTCTTTTTATCATGCCTCTTTTTCCTACCGATGGTTGATCCTTCTTATTAGCTTTTTAATAAGCTAGGAAATTTCTGTTTTTATAGCTTTTAGCCGCTCGTCTCGCCAAGAATATGGGGCAGCAGATCCTGGATTTACAATGAGAAGAAAAATGGAACATTTACGGGAAGAAAGAGAGCAAATACGACAACTTCGCAATGTGAGTCAGATTGACCTTTCAGATCTGCTTTGAATGGGTTTAACTTGAAAAATTAATAATTTATGTATGGGTTTTCTTTTCAATGCTCTTTAAAATTTTGGATTATATCATGATTTATAATATAAATATATAAGACATTTAGGTAGAATATCTGTGATTTATACCCATTTCTTTGTAGAATCTCGAATCCAAGTTGAAAGTAATTTTGCCTGATGACATTGGAGCTGCACTGATGGATGGGGTTGTTCTTTGCCATTTAGCCAATCATATAAGGCCACGCTCTGTAGCTAGTATTCATGTGCCATCACCAGCTGTGGTAAGATTTGTCTACAATTTTTAGTTCTGTAAAGGAAGATAAATATGCCTGAAAAATCACTTTTTTTTCTTACTTTACAGCCTAAACTGAGCATGGCAAAATGTCGAAGAAATGTAGAAAATTTTCTTGATGCTTGTAAAAAGTTGGGTGTTTCACAGGTAATTGTTTTTTTTTTCTAACAAATTAATTTAAATATTAATTTATTACATGCATACTGGGGTTCTTATTCTTTGTAATAGGAATGAATAGTGCTCTTTAAACATGAAAATTATTACCTTCCATTGGTACCTTCTACTGAGTTCCAGCTTTAACTATAGCAGCTCTCTAATGAATGTTTTAAAGCTACTTTGAAAGTCATTTAGAAAACAGCTGCATATATGGGAAAATTGACTCATCATACACATCATTGAATAAATATAACTTAGTGGCCATATTACAATTTGGTTTTGATTATTGCTGCTATCATTTTTCCTGCTGGAGGACATTTGGGACTCCTTTGCACAATAACAGACACTGACTGGAAGATCTGTATTCAAGGTGAACAGCGTTTTTATTTTAAAATTTTTTTTTTATTGATTTTAGAGAGAGAGGAAGGGAAAGGGATAGAGTGATAGAAACATCGATGAGTGAGAAACATTAATCAACTGCCTCCTTTATGCCCCCTACTGGCGATTGAGCCCATAACTCAGGCATGTGCCCTTACTGGGAATCCAACTAGTGTCCTCTTGGTTCATGGGTCAATTCTCCACCACTGAACCACACCAGCCAGGCAAGGTGAGCAATGTTTTAAACTTTATTTAGAATGTCTAGTTGGAAATCGTAGTAACACTATGATAATTTCTCACTGGACGAAATTTGTAGGAATTGTCTTATGTTTCATGTAATAGTTGCAATACTATAAAGTTAACAGAGCTATGTTGCCAATGTATAATGAAAATGAATAAACAAAATATTGTTTTTTTTGGAAAATCTAATAAGCCTAATGTCAACATGACTGACTTTTGAGAGGACATGACATTGTTAGCAGATCACAATCTAGTTGTGCTTTTTAAAATTTAACTTTTAAAATTATTCTTATTGAGACATAACTGACATATAATAAATGTAAGTTTAAGATTTATAATGTGTTTATTTGATACACTTATATAATGAGTTGGGCTTGTTAAGCTCTCTTTTCAACATTGTCATTCATAATAGTCTAGTCTGTAGATTCCACTTTAACCTCTTTTCTCAAATGAATAAATATAATTTATATGTAGAGAACCAGTTGAATTGCTATGTAATTCTGAAACTATATCCTATTTTCTTCTAATTATCTCTTTTCTGTGGTTGACATGTTTTAAAATTTTAATTCTTAACCATTTTTATTTTAGTTCTTTCTTTTTTTCTGTTCTTCATCTCTTAGTGGGAAAATAAAAAATTAGGAAGGTTTTTTCCCAAATAATATTGTATTATATACATTTTTCTGTTTTTCCATTTTTGTTTTAAGACTTTTTTGGGGGAAGATTCCTCAATGAACATTTATTGAATGAATGCATGTTTTCAAATGAGGAAAGTGAGGCACCAAGAGGTTAGGGAACTTGTCCAAGGTCACACCTTTAGTAAACACTGGAACCATGCTTTGAACCCAGATAGTCTAACTCCAAAACCCACTGTCTTAACTTGGATACTTTTCTTTTACATGAAAGAAAAGCCAGTCCAACATATTACAGACACTTTCATGACACATTTGGCAAGGAGGGTACATGAAAAGGTCTTACAAATATTGTTCTCCTTAACGTACCATTGTCTTTTCTCTACACCTTGTTCTAGGGCAGTATTAGTGCCTCACCTATCCTCAACATAAGGACGGTGGGCTATGGAGGAATCAGTCAACTCCCATTTTCTAAACACTCTAGTACAGGCAAGGGTTTATTTGCCATTTTTATGAATTCTTTTATGAAGTATTCTAATCTTTTGTCAATTCTTTAATTGGGTTGTTTTCTTATTGAGCTTGAGATTTCAAAGGCTTTTATCAGATGTATGATTTACAAACTTTATATCTCAGTCTTTGGCTTGTCTTTTTAAAATATATATATATGTTTTTATTGATTACAGAGAGAGAGAAACATTGATCAGCTGCCTCCTTCCTGCCCCACCCTGGAGATTGAGTCCACCACCTGGGCATGTGCCTTGACCCGGAATCAAACCAGTGACTTCTTGGTGCATGGGACGATGCTCAATCCACTGAGCCACACTGGCCTGGCTGGCTTGTTATTTTATTCTTATGTAGTATCTTTCGAAGAACAGCTTTATGTATTTTTGATGTAAAATTTATCATGGTGTCAAACTAAAGAAATCTTTGCATAATCAAAGTCACAAAGTTTTCTTCCTATGTTTATTTTTAGAAGTTTTCTAATCATAGATTTTACATTTAGGTCTATGATCAAATTTCAATTTCTTTTAATAGACGTAGAGCTATTCTGTTTTTTTTTTCTTATTTCTTCTTGCATGAACTTTGGTATACTCTGTCTTTCAAAGAAATTGTCCATTTCATCTAGTTTGCCAATCTTATTGTAAAGTTATTTATTACTTTAGTATTTATGGAATCTCTGTTTTCTTATTTCTGATATTGGAAATTTGTGTATTTTCTCTTTTTTTCTGACTAATTTGTCTAGAGGTGTATTGATTTAAAAACATCTTCTGTATTTGGTTTTATTGACTTGTTTCCTATTATTTTCTGTTTATTTTTTTCTCTCATCTTCATTTTTTCTTTCTACTTGCCATTAGTTTAATGTGCTTTTTTCTACTTTCTAAGGTGGGAGCTAAAGTCATTGATTTTGAAACCTATTTTCTTCTCTAATATATACTTCAGTAGTTATTTGAATAAATAAGCAAAGTATTAGGAGAACAACTAATGCTGCAGTGAAAATGGAGATAAAAAAGATAGTTTTTGAGGACTCTTGATAAATGGAATATTACAATAGTATGTGATGAATGGTTATTGGAGTAAAGAAGAAAGAGAAAACTTATGGTTCTCAGGTTTATGTTAAGAGAGATTAAACAGTATATTATTCACAGGTATAGAAGGATAAGTAATTTAGTGAGGAAGTAGTTCTGTTATGGACACGTTAATTTTGATATGTCTGTTGACATCCATTTGACTGTATCAAGTTGACATTTGTATCTGCAGTTCAATAGAGAGATCTTGGCAGAAAGTACATTTTTTTAAATAATCAGGATGGAGGATATAGTTGTTATTTTTTGGGAATAGGGGTCCAATCCTGCCAAGGTTTCTAGTATTTCAAGAAAAACTGGATTTTTTTTTAAATGGACAACTAAAATACAGAACAACTATCATTCAGAACCACTTGAAATCTGGCTGAATGGAAGTCCTACAACTAGAGAAGTAAAGAAGAACGCACATTGAGACTGGTAGGAGGGGGAGAGGCATGGAATGGGCTGGTCCGACACCTACATGTGGTAATTTTTAAACTGGGGGAGAGAGATACCTTGACTGTGGAGGCCTTCTGTAAGAAGAAAAGGGTCCCACCCCCACACCAGACCCCCAGCCCAGGGTTCCAAAGCTGGAAAGAGAAGTCCCCATAACTTGGGGCTGTAAAAACTAGCAGGGACTGTGGTTAAGTGATTTGGTGGAGAGCCAGGCAGTTCCTCTTAAAGGGCCAGTACACTGACTTACTTGCACTTGATCGCTCTGGGATCCAGCACTGGGGCAACAGCTTGGTGGCGGGGGAGGGAGGAAAAGGGTATCAAGGACATACGTGGAGGAACTGGATTGTCTGGCATCAGAGCAAGAATTTGGGGGCAGCTTTCTCCCTGACAGTGGTGCTCGCAGGGGTCATTGTTCCTATGCTTCGACCTCCCCCATTGCAGAGCTAACTGGCAGCCATATCTGAGTTTCCATGAGCCTGGCTCACACTGTTCACTCCACCCTGGTGACTCCCTGAGACTCTGCCCCATCCAATTTGAAACTCCACTCAAGCTTTTCCATATGAATAGCCTTTTCTGGCTTAGGCTTCATATTTTGCTAAAATCTGTCAAACAAGCAGCAGCTGGTGTCAGTGTGCCCCATACTTATCAATAAGAGGCCCAAGACCTGGCACTACCATCAGCCTGCCCTGCTTCACAGCTTGGCTGCACCTGGGCACTTTGAAGCCCAATATAAGGAGCAGCCATCTGCAGATAGCCCTGTATCTCCTGCTGGGTGGCCCCAAGCAGTGGCTGACTTTGCACCTCCCGGGATGCTCCAGAGCCAGTGCACCTGGTGGACAGCTTCAGACCATACCAGATTATAACTCTGCACATTCACAAGCAACACACTCAAGGAGCAGACGTAGTGAGGACCAAAGCCCTACTGAAGCAAGTCCTGCTTCATAGGAGTGTCTCCTGAACAGCAGGTCTTCCACTGTAGTAGTAGCTGGTCCTCACAGCCAAATGGCCGGGAGGTCAATTCCTCCCAGTGACACCAACAGCAGTCAAAGCTCAACTATAAGACTGCGCACATCCCACACAGGGGAGCACTTAAAGTGCCCAGCTCAGGTGACTGGGGAGGCTGAGCCACTGGGCACTACTGGACACCTATTACACAAGGCTACTCTGTCAATTCCAAGAGATATAGCAGCTCTACCTAATAAATAGAAACAAACACAGGGAAGCAGCCAGAATGTGGAGATAAAGAAACATGTCACTAATGAAAGAACAGAAGAAATCTCCAGAAAAAATGAGCTAAATGAAATGGAAGCAAGCAAATTACTGGATGCAGAGTTCAAAACAATGGTTATAAGGTTGCTCAAGGAACTTAATGAAAGCTTCAAGGGACTTAGTGAGACTTTCAGGGAGAAATTGAGAATTTCAAACACATGAAAAAGATCCAGTCAGAAATGAAGGAGATAAGTGAACCAAAATGAAGACTAAATTACAGGAAATCAACAGTAAAGGATGAAGAGAAAAGCAGTTAATTACCTACAAGGGAGTGCCCATATGACTGTCAGCTGATTTCTCAACAGAAACTATGCAGGACAGAAGGGAGTGGCAAGAAATACTCAAAGTGATGAATAGCAAGGACCTACAACCAAGATTACTCAGCAAAGCGATCATTTAGAATTCAATGTCAGATAAAGAGCTTCCCAGATAAGAAAAAGCTAAAGGAGTTCATCACCACCAAACCAGTATTACATGAAATGTTGAAGGGTATTCTTTAAGAAGAGGAAGAGGAAGAAGACAAAAAATATGAACAATAAAATGGCATTAAATACATATCTATCCACAATTGTATCTAAAAATCAAAATAAATGAACAAGAAATCTAACAAAATAACCTGCCCTAGCTGGTTTTGCTCAGTGGTTAGAATATCAGCCTATGGACTGAAGGATCCTGATTTCAATTCCAGTCAAGGACACATGCCCCCGTTGTAGGCCCAATCCCCAGTAGGGGGGCATACAGGAGTCAGCCAATCAATGATTCTCTCATGTTATTGATGTTTCTATCTCTCTCTCCTCCCTTCCTCTCTGAATTCAATAAAAATATTTTTTTAAAAATAAATTAACAAAATAGAGTGATAGTAAAATAGAACCAGAGACATGGAAACATGGAACAGACTGAAGAATCTCCGAGGGAAGGGGAGGTAAGGGGATGGGAAGATATTAACCAAATCCTGTATAATAAAATCCTAATATGCAAATTGAGCAAATCACTCCACCCTGGTGACTCCCTGAGACTCTGCCCCATCCAATTTGAAACTCCACTCAAGCTTTTCCATATGAATAGCCTTTTCTGGCTTAGGCTTCATATTTTGCTAAAATCTGTCAAACAAGCAGCAGCTGGTGTCAGTGTGCCCCATACTTATCAATAAGAGGCCCAAGACCTGGCACTACCATCAGCCTGCCCTGCTTCACAGCTTGGCTGCACCTGGGCACTTTGAAGCCCAATATAAGGAGCAGCCATCTGCAGATAGCCCTGTATCTCCTGCTGGGTGGCCCCAAGCAGTGGCTGACTTTGCACCTCCCGGGATGCTCCAGAGCCAGTGCACCTGGTGGACAGCTTCAGACCATACCAGATTATAACTCTGCACATTCACAAGCAACACACTCAAGGAGCAGACGTAGTGAGGACCAAAATGTGTTTGCAGGTTTGTAAAACACTGTCCCACCCAACTAAAACACAGTTATGAACTAGATGGGGCCCATAGCTGGTCTGTCTGCCACTCATTCTGTTCATTACTCACTTGTTTTCCTGAGGTGAATGATGTCCCAACTGAAGCAGTGGACTGCATTGTTTTTTTAAAAATAGCTACCAAATTTATTTGATGTTGTACACTTACATATTAACCATTTAATCCCTGCAGTTTTGACAATGCTTTGGCAATACCATGGAGAGGACATAGTGTAAAATGAGAAGAGGGTGAACACAGAACCCTTAGAAAACTTTAGGAAGTTAGAAGAGGATCAATGAAGGCTAATGAAACCTAATACAAAGTTGTCTCTAAACTTCTTATAGAATTGCGAAGATCAAATGACACATATGATGTGCTTAGAAGAGGAGGCAGTTGTTATTTTTCAAATTCTAGACTATTGCAACTAAGAAGCAACACAGCATCACTAGAAGCTGGAGGGAAGTACCCTTAAGCCAAGAAAAGTACTGACGTGCTGTATATATCAGATACCATGGAACCTCAGAACTGGTAGAACCAGAGTGACCAATTTTGTACAGGACTGAACAGTTTACAGAGTGCCTCCCCATACTGACTGTTCTGTTTGTTTCTCACACAGTTCTATCTTCAGGATAAAGAAACTGAATCTCAAGAAATTTTAATATTTCAGATTATGTGGCCCCTCTCCTGGCTGGAAATGTAGTGTTCTTTCTACTCCAGCACAAGAGCTTAGGAAACATTTTAGCATGATCATCTCACTTTAAAATACTTGTTCAGGTAGATAAGATTAACAGGTCAAATACAGCCCGTAGAATATAATCCCATACCATAAGAGTCTACTTTTAAACACAGATATTTTAGATTAGAATTGTGTGCTCTGTGCTTGAAGTTTTATAGAAAGCATGTTTTAAAAATCCAATTTTGACTAATCTAGGCTCTACTGCACTATTTAGAAACAAATGTTCAGATACCACTTATTTTGTTTTTCAGGAAAGACTCTGTTTGCCTCATCATATTTTGGAAGAAAGAGGTCTTGTGAAAGTTGGTGTCACAGTTCAGGCTCTTCTTGAATTACCTACAACCAAGGCATCTCAGCTTTCTATGGCTTAATATAACATTTAAAAGTCATAAGTGTATAATTTCATTTATTTGAAGTTATTTCAAATATCTCAAATTCATGAATAAGACTGTCTAATTAAAAATTTATTAGATCAAGCTTTAGTTTAAAAAATTTTGTTAAATTAAAAAATCAAATTGATGCTAAATTTAAAATATGATTTCAATTTAACAATTCCATTAAGTTTACTTTTTTAATGTAGCATACATACCAGTTAACGTCTGGATAAGGTAATCTTTTTTTTTTTTTTTTACCGATTTAAGCAATTCTACATTTGAGTTATTTAATACACTTCTAATTCTAGTTTATATACAATTTCTTTAATCTTTGGTCTTAGTTTTCTAGAAAAAATGAGTAGAGAATACAGAATTATGACTTTATATTAAATTCTTTTAGTATTATAGGTTGTTGCCAAAATATTTTCAGTTGTACTGTAGATTGTTTACATGTGAAGTGCCTGTGTAATTGATGACTCTTTTATAGTCTTAAACATTTTTGCAATTTCTTTTTATGTATTAATGGAATCAGTGAAACTTTAAAATATTTTAGTAGATTTTGTAGTGTCAGTAATTTGTGAGGATTTAAATGTGCCTCACATTATGATATTTGTGTTTTTTATTTAGTCCATTGCAATTTTCCTTAAATTGGTTATTTCATGTTGTCAAAAAGCAATATTAATATGCTTAATTTATGCTATTTAATTTTGCAAAAACTTAATCATCTTTTAAAATGTATTGTTTGAAGAGTATTTTATTTCTGTATTGAAAATGTTACACAAAGCAGTAAGCTTTTTGAGAACTAGCAAAGTACTAATTATCAAGTACATTTTTATAAAACTGCCAAAGTTTGGGTTTATATCTTGACTTTCAAGAACATTACATCGGTGTGCTGCTGATAGTTATATTCAGATTCAGAGAGCAACAATTGAGGAATAGGTTTATATTCAAAATCTGGCCATATGTGGATCCTCTAAATGTTATGATCCTCAACTAACATGATGTTGAATTAAACACAGACCATTCCATGAATATTTTCATAAGTGTACTGTTACATAAAGTCTTTGTTTAATTTTGAGTTGGATAAATTTACTTTGGTAGTAGTGCAGGAATTTTTCAAAAACATTACTGTGACGAATAACTGTTTCCTATAGAAGAACCTTAGTATAATTACTTTTATAGTAGCCAAGCAAGTATCATATCTTAAATATGTGATTATTTGCACTTGTTACCTCCTAAAATGTATGCAACTTATTAAAAATGTTGGCCTGGGTGTTTCAGAGGGTATATAGAAAAGACAAAAACTATTGTGCCAAATGGTTTAATAAGGGCTGATTTAGAAACAACTCTAATATTTTGAATCAGTTGGCATGAAGCCATATAATTAAAATTTAGCTTTAGCACATAGATGTGTTTTTTTACATTCCCCAAGTGTCAAATTGAAACGTTTAAATAATTTAAAGGTTCCTATGACTATATGGTTTAAAATTAAATTCGTTATTACTTTCAGTTGGATCTAAAAAAAAACCCTTCATTGACATAATCTCCCTAGTGAAAACTTGAGTAATAAAGGTAAAAAATGACAAATGAATGCTACAAGTAAAATGACCATTAAAAGCTAAAGCAATCATTCATACTGCTTTCATAGTTATGCTATAGGATTCTTCTTATTAAGCAATCTAGGCTTTAATTGTTTTATAAGTATTTTCCTGTTTCATTGTCATTGAAATATTAGTGAAATTATAGGCCATGTCCTTATTGCATTTCACTTACGTGTCAATTAATTTTTGCTTTAAAGAGAAACTACCCTAGAACCCCACTGTAGCATTTTTTACTACAGAGCAAAATTCTACCTAGAATGGGTCCATCTGAAGTCCATTCCATGGAAGTTTATTTACTATAGTGCCAAAAGGCAGCACCACCTCTAAGGCAGCTTCACAGCCTAGTACCCAAGGACACATTGTATCAAGGCTCTGATGTATTTTTTTTTAGTAGCTTTTTGAATAATTGTAAATTTTTTATGGTCATTATATATTTACTTCAGTTTTGAATTGAGAATGATTATCATTATTTGAATTGGATATGTGATTTGAAGAGGGTTAAATAATCAAACAAATATTTTATTAGGCCCTAAAAATGCAGTACATAGCTACTTCTGCTAAATTTTATTACTGTATGGCACAAGAAAGAAGTGATGTTGGATAAGTTAGAATTGAAATAAAGAGTGAAAATGCATTACCATTTGTTTAATAGTTATCTTTACAGAATACTAGTTTATCGACTTTTCTAACAGAATTTTTTGAAGAATTCAGAAATGTTTGTATTGGTCACAGATCTATCATGATTGATTTTTTCTGATGCATTTAAAGTAAATGGAACCCTAAATGTATAATACCGATGCAAACTGTGGATAAATAAAGTTGAATGAAAAAATTCATTTGTTTTATCTCTCTACCTTTTCTATCAACATAACAGCATCCATTTTTGTAGGTATTTGATAGCTTGTGTCTATGTTCTCTAGTATGGAAAAATAGACTTCAACATGATATTCAAAGTAAGTTGTTTAAGAGTCTAGATTCATTTATATCATATTATTTTTAGTAGGTAACATTTTATTTAGAAAGCAATAATTCTCTTGGCTATCTTTTCAAAATAACACTTTTACTTAAGGTAGAATCTTTATATAACATAAATAGCTTAATAAAAGGTAGGATAGGTCAAATTGTGATTATTTTTATTATAGATTTTAATGTGAGGTATATAATTGAATTACCCTTAAGTTATTATTATTATTATTATTATTTAAATATATTTTATTGATTTTTTACAGAGAGGAAGGGAGAGAGATAGAGAGTTAGAAACATCGATGAGAGAGAAACATCGATGAGCTGCCTCCTGCACATCTCCTACTGGGGATGTGCCCTTGACCGGAATCGAACCTGGGACCTTTCAGTCCACAGGCCGATGCTCTATCCACTGAGCCAAACCGGTTTTGGCTACCCTTAAGTTATTTGATTAAAAGCTTAATCTTTTATTTTCAAATTCTAATTTTTAAGTAATCCACATATTAAAATGACTTTTTTTTCATAGTTGTTATCTTAAAAGTAGAAAGTTATTCAGGTAAATATTATTAAATATAATATTGCCTCTGTTTTATAGTTTTACCCTGAAGTCTCTGATTTAAAGTATTACTTATATAAACAAATATTTGGCATTAAATTGTTTGAAAGCTATTCTAAGTGTATCATAGAATTTTGAATTGTCTTTAGATGCTGATCCTGATGGTCTAATGACCAACTTAAGTAATAAGGCTTTGTGGTGGTTCAAGCATTCATATCAATTTACTGTACAATAATAGTTCAATATTTTAGGTGATGCTTCAAGGTTTTTACAAAAGATACTTGCCCGACTGGCATGACTCAGTGGTTGAGCATCGACCTATGAACCGGGCTGTCATGGTTCCATTCCCAGTCAGAGCACATGCCCGGGTTGCAGGCTCATTCCCCAGTGAGGGATGTGCAGGAGGGAGCTGATCATTATTGATGTTTCTATTTCTCTCTCCTTGTCCCTTCCTCCCTAAAATCAATCAATGAATTTTAGAAGCTACTTAAATTTTTTTCCATAGGTTTCTTTTCTGAAATGTATTCATTTGCTTTAGTAAATTTTGATGTTATACATGGAATGGTCCTAAGGTTCTCAAGAACCTATCCCAGTGTCCAGAGCACTCCGAGGAACTGAGTTCCATTTGATACATTACTGTATATTAGATTAATCTGAAAATGTCCAGCATCTTCTGTTCCTTAGGTATGATCTCTATTCCTGCATTTTAAAACATTTTTGAAAGTCTGTGTGCTTATGGTGTTTAAATAGCTTGGATTTTCCACAAGTAGGTGTGTGTGTGTGTGTGTGTGTGTGTGTGTGTGTGTGTAATGCAAGCCTCCAGCTGTTTTAGCAAAGGAGAGTCTTAGTATATTGGAAAACCAGAGTTTAGGAGTTATGAGAATGCTGGCAACAGTAGTTTAAGATGGAAAGTTGTTGATTGAATCCTTTACAAGTTACCAAAATTTATTAAAAAGAGAAGTTTCTTTAAAATATGATTTTTTTTAAATTCTAAAGAAATTGGATACTATTTTCTCAGACTATGAAATACATAAGTTGAATACATGGCTATTTAAGACTAGTAGCCCGGTGCACAAATTCGTGCACATTAAAAAGGAATTAATTAGCGGAGATATTTTAATATTGCTATTTGCCCTTTCGCTATCATAGAAGTGTGAGAGATGAAAGGAAATTAGTAAAATGTATATGAAAATAATATATA